ATAGAAAGAACACCCTTCTAATTTTTTGCATGTCGATTTTGAATGACCTGAACTTTATTTTGAAGGAATAAAAATGGCAAAAAATTTGGTCCGAAGGGCCGTTATAGACAATTTTAAAAAAAATATTACGACTTTTTTCAATATACAAAGCTGTTCTTTCCAATTTTAAAAAAGCTGTATTAATCTTTGATTCATCGTTAGTTCAAAGCTGTTTACCGTTTGTTGCTTTCTTAGCTCGTTTTTGAGTTATAGCTCATCAAACTCACCCTTACAATCTGAAGTTTAGAAAATATTATGCAATGTAGCTCAAAAAGTTTTCATCTGAGAAGTCTGAAAATTTGACAGATGTTTTTGGAGCCTATGATTACCCCTAGTACCAATTTTCATCAAAATATGAGAGATGAGGGTGACGGGCCTGGTACGATCTATCGTGGAATGCCCCCCCCCCCCCTGTCCCCTGTCCACTGTCCACTGTCCACTGTCCGTTGTCCGCTGTCCACGACTTCCTCCAGACCCGAGAGCGTCCCGCCGGACCGCGGAGCCCACCGCTCTGTCCGGTCGGCCTGATTTATGGGCGCACGTCACTGATGGCTCGACTTCGATTTGTTGAGCTGGATTTATTATGGTATTGGCGGTAAATGGAGGACGCCACTGGTGCCGACAGCGTGCGGTACTGGATACCTATACCTATAGGCCAATCAAATGACACTTTGGCGAGAACACGGAGGAAGGCGCGGGGCTGAGATTTTGTTTGTCCCCACAGAGCTGTTCTGTGGGCCACGAATAAGCACATCTGAATGATGCGGTACTGTCTTGTCCCGTTTCTCGGCCATATCTTTCCGACCGTTCGACGGATCAACACGAAACTTGCGGTACCCTCAGCGGCATCAATTCATTCAATGTATTCAGGTCAAACTGAGGTTATGCTCGAGCAGAAATGAGCAAAAAAATATGAAATGTTGAAACGCACACAAAAGCTACAGTTAACAAGCAAGTTCAAAGTTCTTTGTGTGGTCGTGTAGAAAAAACGGCGCTACAAAGCTGCTATCTCGGGTTTTCACATTTTTGTGATTTTGACCCCGCAAAATCAAATTAAGTTGTTTTTTATAAAAAAGCAAAACAATCCCAAAAGTTTTTCGAATTTCGAAAAAAAACGGAATATGCATGATAGTTCCTCGCTCCTCTATCTACATACCAAATTTTAGATAGATACCTCCTTTTTTGACCAAGTTATAGCGGAAAAACTCTCTGTCTCTGAAAAACTCTGGCTCTCAAGTGTAGGTAATGTCCTTAAATTTGACCTAAGGTCAACGGCTTAGCCTGCGGGGGCAAAAACTGCCAAAATTTACGTTTTTTGCGGGGAACAGTTATTCTGCAATAACGTTTGACTTAAAAATTGCACGAGGTTACTTTTACTAGCATCGTTTTCCTCCCGTTCAGATGCATTAAATAAACTGGATTATGATTTGACCCTGAAAGGCTTATTTGAAAACAATGACCTCAGCTCAAGGTCATGACGCGACCAGAAAAGGTCGTGTCGCTATCAGTCGATCCGCATCGTTGAGCTGAGCACATGTAAGGCGTTTTCATCGCTATAGCATGTCTCTTTCAGAGTTATTGGCAAAAAAACTGTTTTACGCCAAGTCGTGACCTGAGATGACCTCACGCACATGAGGAAGGGTCGCGGGTGCCATTTTCCGGTTCAGTATGTCCATGTTACCTTGTAAGTCGGTGTATGGTATTTAAAATGACGCTGATCCAAGCGAGGCGTCTTCCGAATTTTCTCCCATTGACTTGGGTGTAGGCCTAATGGAGAGGTCGCAAAATTGACCTGACGTAAGGTCACCGATATCAAAATTCCGAGATATGCATTTTGCACATAATGTTGCGGTTCTCGATTACTGAAAGTTTCAAAACGATCCGTCACAACAACATGCGCAGAAAAGCACAGTGTATAGAAAAGATGTATGATAAGGTGTGCAGAAAAAAAAGACGAAAAAAAAACTAACTACGGCACGGACGCGAAAAAAAACACAGGAGGGGCGTTCAACCACCCCACTCCAGCAGGGTGCGAGTTTAACAGATATTCTGTTACCTGCTCAACCGTGTACTGCTTGTTAGAACGTGCTGGAAAATACCTCAACTGGCTCAACCCAATGGCCAATGCTCATTGATAATTGTTCCTATTCAGCGGGTCTGACCTATCGTTTAAAGACGTGCCTACATATGTAATAACGTTTGATGACAGCTGTTATGTGGATTGGATATCATGACAGGTCCTCGACCTGAAAAGGCATTTACGTTGCGTAGATGGTAGATGCGTTCCGCGTCATTGCCAGCGTGTGTGTCTGGGGGTTGACTGCACCGTTGCTGGCGGAGGCCGCTGCTATTTTTAGTCTGTCCGAAGGCTGACCGGCAGACTTGCTGTCACTTCCGGCACTACGTCAGCGGCCGGTCTTGCCACGCCGCGGTCGGACCGGCCGGCGCCGCGGCAGCATCATTGCAAATACACTGCCGTGGCTCACGTGAACCATCCCATTTGAGGCGCCGATCGGTCCCACACCGCTGGACGATACTGCATGGTCAGCCCCGTGTGTGTTGCAGCTGAGCTCCCCGCTGGGCGGGACTGGGGCTCTGGCGGTGTCGCGGGAGCTGACCTCTCAGTCGGGCCGGGCCGCCTCACTCTGGCCGCCCTCACAGCTCTGTCCGGGGGCGTATCCGGACCGGAGGCGCGGCGCGCTCACTCCGGTGTGCCAGGCGGGCGGCGGCACGGCGCGATCCGGCCAATCCGCCCACCTGGGCCGCTCCCGAGAGGAGCCCGGCTCCGGCTGAAAATTCCCACAGCTCGGCTAAGCCGCCAGTGGCGAGTGCAACCTGTCGCCACGCGCCCGCCGCGGCGCCTCAGCGTAATGCGGGATCGCGCCCGGCAGCTGATCGGCCAGGGAAGCAAGGAAAACTGGCAAACGGGCCACTACACACGTCCGAAAATGACTGCGGTTTATTGTTATTGCGATGGGTAGGCACGTATGCACAACGTTATCACAACGGAGTGTCACCCGGCTCCGACCTCGTACAGCCGGTCCAGGTGACGCCAGGTTCCCACTCTGCCGGGTCCCACAGGCCGGGTCCCCCAGCCGGCGTCATATGAGCCTCGTTTCATAAAGTGAGTCCGTAACTTACGCCGGTTTTTGGTCTTGTATTGCAAGTGCATGTGAAGCGATGACGATAGTTTGACTCGTTGATTTTATTTATCTTGCAAGCAAGAACAGAAGGGAGAAGGGGAAATAAATTTATCGCTTCGCATTCGCTTGCAATACAAGCCCAAAAACCGACGTAGATTACGGACTCGCTTTATGAAACGAGGCCCTGCCCGCGCACATTGCTCCAACAGACGGTAAATAACTTTCGAAAATACTTATCTCCAATTTTAGTGTTTTCTGAACCAAAATTTTGCGAGGAATCCGATGGTGTGGTCCCTGAAATCTGAAAAATTTCCATTTTGGAGATAGCACCTATTTTTGGAAAAGTAAATATTCGTCATGCACAAAAGTCAAATAAATTGAAAATATAATGAGTGAATATTTATACTAACACTAGAATGTATCGAACATGAATTAGTGATATATTTTAGCTGAGATGATACTATATCTGCTCATACATGTACATGAATTAGTACATTAACCCTCTTCGGCCGAGAAGGGGTGGGGCGGATGCCGCCTCATAGCCCGGTTTTTCGCGATAGCTCAAAACACGCTGAGGGAAAACAGCTGAAACTTGGCATACCTAATATTTTATTCAAGCTGGATCTTTTGACACCAACTGCGTTTTCAGGTCAGGTCAGGTCACTGACCTATGACGTCATAAATGAACCTCTGCACGGTCCTCAGAAGTTGCAACTTTGCAACGCCCTCAGTGCCAGAGGAACTTTCACAGGAAGATGAAACTTACAGGACGTAGTATCCTTTAGAGGTCTCACAAATTGTATATCTCAGATTTTTCCCAAATGTCAGATGAGGTCAGTTCGGTCACGTGACCTCACCATATTAAGTCAATGGAGGGAAATATGAAAACTGTTATTTTGACGCCGGAAATTGTCTAAAAACTGACCCAAGCACATGAAATCGTGGTTTCATGCACTCTTTGTAAGGTCCGATCATGAAACCACGATTTCATGTGCTTGGGATAGTTTTGGATCATTTCCGGCGCCAAAATAACAGTTTCAATATTTCCCCCATTGACTTATAATGGTGAGGTCACGTGACCGACCTGACCTCATGTGACATTTAGGTTAAATCCGAGATAAACAAGTTGTGAGACCTCAGAAGGATACTACGTCCTGTAACTTCCATCTTCCTGTGAAAGTTCCTCTGGCACTGAGGGCGTTGCAAAGTTGCAACATCTGGGGACTTCGCAGAGGTTTATTTATGACGTCATAGGTCAGTGACCTGACCTGACCTGAAAACGCAGTTGAGGTCAAAAGATCCAGTTTGAATAAAAGATTAGGTATAGGTACCAAGTTTCAGCTGTCTACCCTAAGCGAGTTTTAAGCTATCGCGAAAAGCCCTATGAGGCGGCACCCGCCCCACCCCTTCTCGGCCGACGAGGGTTAATGTACTAGTTCATGTACATGTATGCGCAGATATAGTATCATCTCAGCTAAAATATATCTCTAATTCATGTTCGACACATTCTAGTGTTCTTACAAAAATTAACTCATTATATTTTCAATTTATTTGACTATTATGCCTGACGAATATTTATTTTTTCAAAAAATAGGTGCTATCTCCAAAATGGAAATTTTTCAGATCTCGGGGACCACACCATCGGATTCCTTGCAAAATTTTGGTCCAGAAAACACTAAAATTGGAGATAGGTATTTTCAAAAGTTATTTACCGTCTTTTGGGGCAATGTGCGCGGGCAGCTGCAGAGCGCAGAGCCGCGCTCGGCACACCCGGCGGCAGAAGCTGGCCGCACAGCGCGGCGCCCACTGACCCGGAGCCGCGCCCGGCACACCCGGCGGCAGGAGCTGGCCGCACAGCGCCCACTGACCCAGAGCTCCGGACAGCCCGCGCTGACCGGCCGAGTGACAGGCCCGCCCCCGTCCCTGCAGCCCCCCGCAGTGCTCCGTATGAGCTCACCCGCACTGGTCACGAGCCAGCGCATGTCGTGCAGGGTAGGGGGGGCTGGCACGGCCCCAGCGGCCGCCACACCCGTGGTAAGTCCGCCGGTGACTCGCGCCGTTCGCCGGAGCGGGATGAGGTAAACAGCACACATGGTATCTACAGTGCATCTCCTGATGAGTCACTAGTGACGACACAAATAGTTGGGGTAGCTCACAGCGCGCAAACACGGCAGCTCACAGCGTACACACACACGGCAGCTCACAGCGCACACAGACGGCAGCTCACAGCGTACACACACACGGCAGCTCACAGCGTACATATGGCAGCTCACAGTGCACACAGACGGCAGCTCACAGCGCACACATACGGCAGTTCACAGCGCACACATACGGCAGCTCACAGCGCACAGACGGCAGCTCACAGCGCACAGACGGCAGCTCACAGCGCACACACACAACACGAGCTCATCAGCCGCTCTAAGCGCCGGCGGCTGATTCGGAGGCGGCGCCCGCCGCGCTCAGCGCTAACAGCCGGCAGTTTCCGGTCTTCCCTCACATACCTACAGTATGACATACCTACATACCTACAGTATGAGTTACATTACCGACACGCACGAGATCACAACATGAGCCGCGGACTGAGAGCCGCCTGAAGAGCGCCGCCAGTCTGGCACCCCGTCACCACGCCATCTGACCCGCAAACCCCTCCGCAGCACCGCCGGCCCGCTCATCAGCCTTTGAGCTTGCTCTTGATGATCTCACAGTGGCGGTCGCTGCTGCGGTCGAACGTCACGATGTTGCAGAGGATCTTCTTTCTGCAGGAGGCGCGGCAGGGTTTGCGCCGCCGGGAGCCTCCCCAGTAGGTGGAGTAGACGATGTCGAACAGCCTCCTGTCGCGCGCCATGCGGCGGGTCAGCGCGAGCCAGTCGGCGGGGCGCAGCGTCGCCAGCCGGTAGGCGCGGCGGGCAGAGGCCAGCGCGAACCAGCGCGGCAGCCTGTGCGGGCTGCGGTTAGCCACCTCCAGGTCTGTCGCCCAGTGCTCCGTGTCGATGACCTCCTGCCGACACAAAGGTCAGTGACGTCAGCGACCACAGACACTGGACAGAGGTCATATACTGGTCAGAGGTCAGCGCTCAGCGCTCACTGGCTCTGGATAGAAGTCAGACACTGATCAGAGCTCACAGACATTGGACAGGGGTCAAATACTAGACAGAGGTCAGAGCTCACAGATACTGGACAGAGGTCAGATACTAGACAGAAGTCAGCACTCACAGACACTGGACAGAGGTCAGCGCTCACAGACACTGGACAGATGTCAGATACTAGACAGAGGTCAGAGCTCACAGACATTGGATGGAGGTCAGATACTAGACAGAGGTCAGCACTCACAGACACTGGACAGAGGTTAGAGCTCACAGACACTGGACAGAGGTCAGCGCTCACAGACACTGGACAGATGTCAGATACTAGACAGAGGTCAGAGCTCACAGACATTGGATGGAGGTCAGATACTAGACAGAGGTCAGCACTCACAGATACTGGACAGAGGTTAGAGGTCACAGATACTGCACAGAGGTCAGATACTACACAGAGGTCAGAGCTCACAGACCCTGGACAGAGGTCAGATACTACATAGACAGAGGTCAGAGGTCACGGATTCTGCACAGAGGTCAGCGCTCACACATTAGGGGACCCGCCGGCAGCAGCGGCTGTCACAGAGTATTACCACCAAGTTACCAAGTTTGGGTGCAAGGGTTAGAGAGTCACACGCTGTGCACGTGCAGCTCATGGATCGTGGGCATATCAACAGTGTGACGCCCCGCTCCATCGCCCGTGTATGTTTGGTCGGCATGTGTACAGATATCGAGGTTACGGAGGCGCAGCCATGGTGCAAAAACATACAACGCTGGTTGACAGCGTGCAGTGCTGTCTGGACGGAGTCAAACTATGTAGCGTGCAAACAAGAGGCCGCCGGGCAGCTGTGCGCCTCGGCTTCACTTATCACCATGTCGGCTGCAGTGACCCGCACACAATCTCAGCAGTGCGGCTATGGGCGAGGACTCTGCTGATCTGACTATAAATGCAAGGTGACGCGAGACCATTCAGGAAATGGACTCAAGGCCTTGGAGCTTAGTTCACCGTTCTATTTGTTTGATAAGTGATCATTTTGGCGACGTTAGCTGTTGTCTGAAATAGTGACGCAGTAGTGTCACTGTGCCGCCTGAGTAGCAGCACTGAAGGAGAGTCCTCAGCCCTGTCGCCGCAGCCATGCCATCGGTCATCTCCCGGCCTGGGGCAGAGTCCCATTGTGTCGCCCATCTCAGAGCCGGGTGGAGGCCTTGGAGGCCTTGGAGCTTAGTTCACCGTTCTATTTGTTTGATAAGTGATCATTTTGGCGACGTTAGCTGTTGTCTGAAATAGTGACGCAGTAGTGTCACTGTGCCGCCTGAGTAGCAGCACTGAAGGAGAGTCCTCAGCCCTGTCGCCGCAGCCATGCCATCGGTCATCTCCCGGCCTGGGGCAGAGTCCCATTGTGTCGCCCATCTCAGAGCCGGGTACCTGGCAGCTGAGCTCGCTGACGCCGGCCTACTCAGGGGAGCTCGCCGGGGTCCTCCGGTGACAAGTACATAAATATACATATAAGCGAATGGTTTACATATGTACGGGAGGACAGACCCAGGCTGGGGCAGACGTACCCGGCTACGGTCGGCCGCCGCCGACAGGTCACGGTCAGCCGCCGACAGGTTACTGACCAGCCGCCTATAGGTCACTGACCGGCCACCGACAGGTCACTGACCGGCCGCCTACAGGTCACTGACCGGCCGCCGACAGGTCATTGACCAGCCGCCGACAGGTCACGGTCGGGCGCCGACAGGTCACTGACCAGCTGCTGACAGGTCACTGACCGGCCGCCGACAGGTCACTGACCGGCCGCCGAAGACCGGCTGACGGCGCCGGCTGACGGCGCCCTGGAGGATTTCCGCAGCCGGGGCGGCGGCCAGCCACCGGCACATCGCCCTCAGAGCCGCACTTTGGCGGATTCAGATTTCGAAAGCTCGTTCAAGTGCGCCTTCATGGGTGGAGTATGCGGGAGTCGGCGACGCCATCGTCTCCCTCGAGGCGTGTGCGGCGGCCTCCATTAATAAATTGCGACCGGAGCCCGCGCGGTGCGCTGAGACGAGAGAGCCCGATGGCGCGGGGCGGCGCGTCCATGGCACGTCACTCGTGTAGACGTGTTGACGAGCCGGCCCGTGTCTGAGGGAGCAGCGGGGCTCGGCCGCACCGTCGTCGCCTTCCAAGTTGACCCTATCGGCTCAGCGAGGGGTGGCCATGATTTCAGGCCGGGAGTAACTGACGCCGGACGGCGGCACCAGCGAGCGCCCCTCGGAGTCGGGACAGCCAGCCGCCGGTCGGAGCGCGCGCACTAGCGCTGCACAGCGCCGCTGATGTCACCGGAGTGTAACCCCTGCGCAGATTGGCCGATCGGTGCGCGGTCAGGGGAGAGCGTGTGTACTGCAGTAATGAGTGCACACGTGACCGTCCTCCGACCCGCCGCTCGATGTGCTCATTCAGCCAGACTGAGCTTGACAACTGCATCGCGGACACGCTCCTAATAGCGGCCTGGAAAATACCGGGCCCCCAGTGCATGTTTCTGGCTAAATTTCTCATCTACAGGGTGTTTCACTAAAAGTGTCAAAAAGTAAAAGGTCATAATGCACATTATAACAATGTTTTCTAAGGAAATTTGCATATCATTTCATCCGCAATTGTTGGACATTTGAATATATAAAAACGATATCACCGTCACTCAAACCTATTCCACACATCTGCCCCTTCTTTTGATTCACCGTTTCGGCACGTGTCCGGAGGTGCCTCACAGCCCGTTTTCATCTTCAGCGTCCAGACTGTCGGCAAAGCCTTGAATTGTGCTCTTCAGCTCCCGAAGTGATGCGACTTGAGTTTTCCTCAGCTCTGCGAGGGCTACTGAGTCACTGACCAAACCAGAGGCTTAGCGGTGACAGATCGGGGCTTCGCGCTGGCCAGGGGCGGGCGGCGAGGCAGCTGAATTCGGCCCAGGAGCTTCTGGTCCAGTCAGTTCCTGGTGGCTACAGCCGTTACAGTGGTTGATTTTAATAACGTGTAAGGCCCTGGCTATTTCTGATGTTGGAATTAGCTTCTTGTTATCTTCAAAGGCCCTCAAAAAGACCCTGACCTTCTCAACGGTTTCCGCCGAGAGGTGGGGGCAACCCCGCCTTTTTTGGACTGGAACCGGCATCGAAGGAACCCTTTTAAACCTCTCAACAAGCCCTTTGGAACTTTTATAATCTGGAACGTAGCGAGGTGAGAGAGTAAAAAGTTTCCTGAAAAGTCGGCATACGGTTTCAATGTTTCTGATGGCACCAAATGTACATAAGTGTAATTCATCCCTCCTGTTGCGGTGTAAATAACCTGTTCTTGTTCTGCATAAGGAAAAATGACCAGTAACTTTGGCCTCCTGCCCTCGCTCCGTATGAGTGTAAAATATATCTTAAATGGATAAATAATAAATGTCCAAAAATTTGCAACAAAGCCACGTGCGCAGCCACGTGATTTGCATATTCTATATATCTTTAATAGGCATTTACTTTTTGACACTTTTAGTGAAACACCCTGTATAACCAAATACGTCCCACGTGCCGTTGGCGCTGGTCGGGAGACACATGCATGATTACGCCCGTGTGTCGGCAGTCCGTGTGTCGCCCGTGTGTCGGCAGCTCGTGTCGGCAGCTCGTGCCGGCGCGCGCCCCGCTCACCCAGGTGTCCGGCTGGACGTGGTAGATCTTGTAGCCGGGGTTCAGGCTGGTCCACGGCGACACTGAGGGCGCAATGTAGACGGTGGAGAAGGGCCGGCCGGCCCCATCCAGCGCCACCTGGAACTCGTCCAGGTGCGTGTGCGAGAAGAACTGCGCCCGCACCGTGGCGCGGAACCTGCCGACACGTCACGGCGAGTCAGCGCGGACGGGCCATCCGTCAGCCCGCGGACCGGGCCGACACAAACAGCAGGCGCAGCGCGCCAGGACGGCCGGCGCCGGCCGGGCGGGCCGCTCCCGTCCGTCATCGGCCGGCCGCCGGCGCCGGCGAGCTGTTTTCAATCCGTCGCGCCGGTGAGAGGGGTCCGGCGCCGGCGGGGAGGGGTCGCCGCCGCGGCCGGTGACCGGTGACCGCAGGCCGCGCGGAGGCTGGACGGGCGGCCACTGCAGGCCGTACGCACAGAGCTGCCGCCGCCCCACCGTCCCCTATATCGCACCCTTAGTAACGCTAACTGAGATCACACAAATAGTAGGATATCCAGCAATCTATGTGTGCTTTGCTGGTAACTAAAGATTATCATCATCATCATCATCATCGACATCATGTGATGCAAGTTTCTAGGTAAGCTACATGACCAGTGACCACAGTCCACATTTACACATTAACAAAGTCTACATTTTAAGCAACCTTCTTCGAACCTATGCCCGTCATGTGTAAGTAAACAGTGAAATATGGTAGCGAATTAAAGCGAGGGAAAATAATAGGCAATGGCATATAGGCTACACTCCTATCAGATGCGCATTGCGCAGTACATAGGTTCTAGTAACACAATTCAGGCATCGCGGCCCTATTATTAGGTACCTACTTTTTGTATGTTACGCAAAAGTCGTATCTCAGAAAAGAAATGTTGAAGACAATGCGTAGGAAAAGGTTTTCGTAGATCAAAGATAAAACAACCATACCTAATTCTAGCACAAGTGACGCGGTCAGCATGCAGCCAAGAAAACTACTTAGTTGAGGGTGAACAGCCCCAATCGGTAGAGGAGAGAAGCCAAGCCGAGGTCAGATCAAATTATGCGGTTTATTGCAGATACTATTTTCGGGTCATATTTAAATTTACACATATTGACCAAAATCTATCACTAGTTATTTATAGAGATGAGTAACTTTTATCCCAAATGAGCACTGAATAACTGCATGGGTGATGGTTTTGATACCAGGGACCATATTCACGTCGTCTTCGTAAGTCAATTTTCTCTCTTAAGTATACTTTGGTATTCACGGCGACACTTGGTAAGTTTTTATCGACAGAGTTCACGTGATTAAAACGCAGGTCATGCGTACAATTTTTTTACGAAAATGATCGACGTGAATACGGCCCCAGAAGGTGCACCAAGCTCCGAGCCCCGGATGACGCCGTAACCGCAGCTCCACTGGTCATTCCGATGGTCGTCAGCACCACCTGATCTGAGCGGCTGGCGTCAGCGCTCGCCCCTGTGACCGGTCGGCCGCCGCGACATGGGCTGTCAGCGCCGCGGCGGCAGCGCCGCTGAGCTGGCGCCGACTGCCCCGAGGGGCGCGCGTCCCAGCCGCCCACTGACCCGTCACCTGCCGAGCGCGTCCCGGCGTCGTCACCGGCGGCGGCGACCACATGAGGCGCCCGAGTCCCGGCTCCGGCGGACCGGACGGTGTGGATCCGGCGCCCCCGAGTCCCGGCTCCGGCGGACGGTGTGGATCCGGCGCGGCGCCGCACGGCTGCACTGGACCTTCGTTGGCCGCCGGCCGCCATGTGCATTGTGCACTGTGCAGAGGCACGCTCATCGGCGCCGCCGCGGCGCCGCGCTCGGCCAGCTAGAGTGGATTGCGTGCCGGCGCCCATGCTGCGGCCGCTGTCCAGTGTCGCCAGGGTGACCGGCGCGGCACCAGCTGCCACACAGCGCCGGCACCGGATGGAGGGCTGCGGCGGCGCTCCCCTGTTTACATCGCGCCCGCCCGAGCACGTGACGAGTCCTCGCCCCCGCCCCCGCCCGCGGCGGCAGAGGCGCTGGCACGCCGCGCCGGGTGGGGCCGCCTGCACCTCCCAGCCGAGCGAGCAGTGCAGCAGAGTCGGGACATCCGTCCGCAGCTGACTGCCCCGCCACCCGGAGCTGACCTGCCCATCCACAGGCGCTGAGCTGCCCATCCACAGGCGCTGACCTCCCCATCCACAGGTGCTGACCTCCCCATCCACAGGCGCTGACCTGCCCATCCACAGGCGCTGACCTGCCCATCCACAGGCGCTGACCTGCCCATCCACAGGCGCTGACCTGCCCATCCACAGGCGCTGACCTCCCCTCCATCAAAAGCTGACCTCCCCAGCTCCCAGGATCAATGCTGGTAAAACCTTTGTTGGACTGATTGTTGATTGGCTACTGTGTCTGCCTTATGTGAGCCCGGCGGCGGCTGCAGGTGTCCTCCGAGTCACTGAAGTCAGTCGGAGCAATCACTGTTTTCCTGTGAACACTGCACCGTATACTGAACTGGGGGACGCGCGTATGTACGGAGTCCAGTCCCTGTACTCCCTCCAGTCGCTGACAGCAGACGGTATACCGCGTATACGGCGTACCGGGTGCCAGTAGGGCCTCGGCTAACATGTTAACTGGTGGGCCAAATGGCCCACCAGTGACCCGAAATGGCCCACCAGCCTCAAAGATTTGGCCCACCAGTAATTTTCCGAAAAATCTAAGTTTTCACATTTCAAATTGAACTAGCAGATCTTATCGTACATTTTCAGGCTGTAAAGTACCCATCGGTGAAACATATTCTTGTGAAAAAACTTCGACCTACTCGTATTGTTTGCAATATCCTCTTGGGGTAAAAAGTGGAAGAACAGACCAGTTCAGACGGTCGGGGATAAGCCTGCGAGCGATCTCAGACGGCTGGCCGATAGACACGAATACGATATAAGCCAGAGTCAAACTACAGGGTCTTTCATAATGAATGTTATTTTTAAAACGCGAAGTTGAAGGTGTTCGGAAATAATAAAAGCATAAATTTTGTATTTACCTCATTGCAAATTTCTTGGAATTTCTGTTGATGTAATTAAAACTGCCACACTTCACCAAACTTCCCTTTTGTGCGGACATGAAATGCCTCTCCCTACAACACGGGTCAGCTCTTTTTTCACGTAGGCGTTTTGGGTGGTCGTGGGAAACGACTCACTGAAGGGCACGGCTGTCCACCGTAAGATTCGGGGACACTTTTAGAGAAGAAGCACGATGTCCGCTTTAAAATGATCACAGGCTTGTGAACATGGAATGTCACGGTTGACTGCAAGGAACAAAACGCACGAAAGGTCATGTTTTGGGCTAGCCGTGGTCGACGGGCGGGTCTTCGTCCACTGGTTCGCTTCTGGCTTATCAGTGACCGGGCCAGCTTATCTGAGGCTGCTCAGTGCTCAAGAAAGAATTCTGGCCTCATGTGCCTAGCGGGGTTCAAAGATAAGGCCGCTGGTTTCAGCAGGACGGCGCTGAAGTGACACAATGGCGGCTGGACGCCAGTGGTTGGATGGCAACTTTGACAGACGAGTGATCAGCCGTCTCACTGAGCGGCCATGGCCAGCTTGGAGCCCTGATCTCTCGCCGATGGACTTCTGGTTTTGGGTAGTCGTCTTGGAGGCCCCAAGCAGAGACCCTTCCAGTGACCCTCATAGAGCTACAGCCTACAGGTCACAGTGGAGAGGTTTGCTGCAATGCTGTGCGCGGAGGATGTGAAGCGCATGGTGCATCATTTGCGTCAGCGGGCCGAAATCTGTGTCCGAAAGCGAGGCGACACAGTTAAAATCCATGAAGGGTACCTAAACGCGAGTCATGTGCACATAATTTCCCATGATTTGTTATTTCATTGGGGTATTAACAATAACTTTGTGATGTATATCACCTGAGCTATGGCTATTTTAAAAATAACATTCATTATGAAAGACCCTGTAGAGGTAGTGTCGGCGACTTCCAGCCGATTGAAGTCTGCAAGCGATATTATGCGTCTTCACGACCGCGACATAGGATGACTTGCATATTCGTGCGCATTCGTGTACCAAAATTCGGCAGTGTAACAAGGGCTTATGATGCTTGCAGTCACACATCTGACCAGTCGGACGAATTTCGAACCGTTCACAGTCACCGTTCCAAAAATTTCTCATTTGGGCTGAAAATGACACTCAAGAATAAGAAAGGATAATTTTCACTCTCACATTTTGGGTGGCTAGAATTTTCCACTCAGACACCCAAGACAAATCGGAAGTTTGGGACACTGTTCACCAGAAGTGTACATAACTTCTTTTTAAAGAAAATATTAGGGTTGCGCACTCACGCGCAGTGCGCTTGGGCTTTTGAGTCAATTCTTTTCCATGCGACACCAATAGGCTTAATGATCATTTTCAGAGATGTTGGGGTTGCTGCTACAACCCTCTTTTGGGGTTCCTGCTACAACCCACTTTATATATAAAGTTGCACTCGTGCTGTTCACAATTCCTCCCGATCCACCCGACAACGCCCGATCTCTTCCGACCGCTTCCGAATCTCCGACTAATCGGCGAGCGATCCACTCAGGGCTGGCTGATTTTTAACATCCGACCGGCCGTAAGTTATCGTCCAAAGTTTTATAATCTGCGTCAATATTTTGTGCATACTTGTGCGATTTTATGTGCACTGCCGGAGTATCACCGCTGAGAGGGTTGTGGGTCCCTTGTCTCTCCTCTCTCTGAAGAGTCGGGGGGGGGGGGGGTCGAGCCCCGTTTTTTTTTTACTTTTTTTTTAAATGCCATCCTAACGTTTTTTTGCAGAATAAAGTGGCCGAAATCTGGGGAGAAATCGAAAATTGGGGGGGGGGGTGGGCTATGGCTACGAAGGTCAGTCCATGTCGCTGCCCAAGTGGCCCACCAGTCAAAATTCCTTAGCCGAGGCCCTGCCGGGTGCACTGCCGTCACAGACGGTATACGGCGTACCGCGTGCACTGCCGTCACAGACGGTAGGTATACGGCGTACCGGGTGCACTGCCGTCATAGACGGTAGGTATACGGCGTACCGGGTGCACTGGTCACAGACGGTAAGCATACGGCGCACCGGGTGCACTGCCGTCACAGACGGTATGCGGCGTACCGGGTGCACTGATCATAGACGGTAGGTATGCGGCGTACCGGG